TGATGATGATGATGATGATGATGATGATGATTCTTCCTCAACTTTCAAATTCAAATCCCGCCCACATAGGTCTCCAACTGGCAATGTTGCTTCTCGGAGTCATTACTTTCTCTCCAGGGGTCGGAATTGGATGGTTTAACTACCGTTAGATTCTTTTTGTCGAAATCTTTCTTTTGGTGGTGATATGTTTCTACAATCGTTTTACAGTCGCCGGGTATTTCGAAGATGGGCGTCTGACCGGAGGTGTAATCTGTGTTCCGGCAATCGTAATTTGTTGGCTACCCACCGTTGGATTCCGCTCTTCGATATCTATATTTTTATGGCAATTTTGTTCAATCTTTTATGTCAGATTTATTTCAATAATTTTTTTCATCGCGAGCGCAGAACCTTGGGTGGTTAGCGGCGGCTAGGATTTTGGTAGGAGGTAGTTGGGGTGAGGACTCGTTGACGGTTTGGTCTAAAATTCGTAGCATTTCGCAGCTATGACCCGTCTCTCTCTCTCTCTCTCTCTCTCTCTCTCTCTCTCTCTCTCTCTCTCTCTCTCTTAGTGTTTGTCGATTTTTAAGTGTTTTGATGTTTCTTCAATTTTTGTTAATTTGCACTAAAATAATTATTTTTTGATTTTGCAATTGCTGCTTAATGGAAGCCATTGATACTCTCCTTGAAGGTGTTAAATAATTTGATTGATGTTGTAGACGAATTTGTGAATTTGACATATGCTTCAAGTTATAGTGTTGTACAGGCTGCATTACTACACATTACTAGCAAAAATATAGTAATATGCAGTAACATATGCATGTAATTGTGTATTTTCGACTTGTATAATATAAATATTTAAATTGAGAATTTTTGTTGTTGGTGTTTATGATTTTTATTTTTTGTATAAACGTTGATATTCGTGTTTGCACACAATTGGTTGTTAGAGTAGGTGACCAACAAGCCAACATGTGGCTGTGGTTTTTCGTATTTATTATTGTAATAAACGAACATTTATTCGTATTAATGATAAAACACCTTGGCATTCTATATCTTTGTCCCTTTGTCACAAGCATAGATATAGTCCTTACAGTTATTACAAGTACTAGTAATTGATCGTTAGGATCGTGAGATATTTACTTAAGTATTATAACTGTTAAACGTGTTCCTAGTCGAAGGGTTACGCCACTAATGAGGATATCGGCCTTTCCCATTAAGACTAGCACTTAGTGTATGTGTACTGCATCTCATCAGTAAACGATATTGTGATATCGGCATGCATAAGTGGGTGCTCGTAAGTTGACGAGTTCACTGAACTCCCTCACCCTAGAAATCTCTAAGTGGTTCCCAATAATCGAGTAGAGATATCTATGGTATAGTTGTACACCATTAGTCCTTATGACCTAGACATCACCGTGACTTCACTAGAGGACCAGCTGTATCGTGACCTGTCCCTGAGTTCCACCGAGGACCATCCCAAGGGCCAGTGTTCGTGCAGTCCGAAATCTAGTGGGAGGTCTGTGCATTGTAGTCGGGGATTTGATCGCTAGAATAGTCTTGGATGTCCTGTGTGTTCTGAAAGTTTGTAATCATTCTAAGTCTCTGGCTAGAGCTGACTAAGTGATGATTAGAGAATTCGGTTCTCTAAGTCATGCACGTGACGATTACAACACTTGGAACGATCGCACCGTCATCGAACATATAAAGAGGTCTCGATGAACCAATGCCTCTAGTTCGATCGGGACATATGTATCGAAGGGACCGTACTGTACGTTAACTATATCTGAAGGTTCTTGCAGGCACTTCATTTGTATCTAGGGAATCATGACGCGTAGTTGCTAGACGCCAATCTTGATTCGTTGGGTGATTAAGGAGAAACAAGCTTCATCTTAATCGTAACTCTAAGGGACGAGTTTTGACCACAAAGAGTTGTGGGCCCACGGCTAGCTTACACCTGAACCATCGAGGGTCACACTGCTCGTGCACATGAGATCTTTGAATAAACGGTCAGAGATAAAATAGTTTATCTTTGCATAATTGGAAGTCAATACGATTGATTCCAACATTCGTAATTTGGAATTACGAATGAGAATAAGAAAAGGAAAAGAATAGGCGAGCGTTGTAGTGGACTTTCTAAATCGAGAAGTTTCCAAATTTAGAAAGTGCACTGAACTAGGGTTTCCACTTTTAAAAAGTTGGAAAATGAGAATTGACACTCGTAATGACGAGGACTTTATAATGATTCCGAAAATGTAATCGTTGCAATTTTTCGGTCATTGGATTGAGAGAAACGAGCAAGTAAAAGTACTAGCGAACTTAAGCTGTTGGGCCCGGTCCAACTTAAGCCCGCTAGGGTTTTATGCAAGACACTATAAATACAAGATTTATAGGTCTTGCACAAACAAGTGAAAACCCTAACCCTAGCAGCCGTTACCTCTCTCTCTCTCGCCCTCTCTCCCGCGGCCGTCACCGGCGCCGTCGCCGGAACTTCACCGGAATCGGCTGTTCATCGGCCGATTGCTTCGGTAGCTTCTTTCCTTCTCCTTTTCTTCCGTTAATTCTAACTATTACGTGTCTAGTGCCACGTGTTTAGTAGATCGAAGTATACGAGGTGAAATCCGAGAGGAGGAAGATCGAAGATCGAAGAATCGAGGAGCAGTGCACAAGCCGAAGCCGCACGCTACCCCACGCGCCGCCCCAGAAGACCGCGCGTGAGATTCACGCGCCGCCGTGGCCGTCTCGCCGCTGCTGCCGCTGCACCGCTGCTGCCCCGGATTGTACAGATTGGTTTCCGTAGCAATCTCGACTTGCTTAGCGCTCCTACCTCACGCTTCAAGAGGTAAACACACGAACTCAATGTTCTTGATTCGTTTACGTTTAAACACTATATATTCATGTTTGCTTTCGTATGATTTTATGTGATTATGTGTAATC